ACCTTACTGGGATCTGCACGCATTATTCGCCGATACATGACACAGTCCTAGACACTTGGGAAGTGCTCGACGTGTGATCCAATTCAACAGCCAGCAGAGTGTCTGCTGTGGACTCATCTTGTTGTGTTTCAAATAATAATAATAATAATAATAATAATAATAATAATAATAATAATGTGGAAACAGTGACAGACTTTGTATTTCTAGGTGCAAAGATTACTGCAGATGCAGACTGCAGCCAGGAAATCAGGAGACACTTACTTCTTGGGAGGAGAGCAATGACCAATCTCGGTAAAATATTGAAGAGTAGAGACATTACACTGGCAATGAAGATCTGCATAGTCAAAGCAATGTTATTCCCCATAGTAACCTATGGATGTGAGAGCTGGACCATAAGGAAGGCTGAGCAAAGGAAGATAGATGCTTTTGAACTGTGGTGTTGGGGGAAAGTTCTGAAAGTGTGCTTTGGACTGCGAGAAGATCCAACCAGTTCACACTTCAGGAAATAAAGCCTGACTGCTCATTGGAAGGAAGGATAGTATAGGCCAAGATGAACTACTTTGGCCACATCATGAGAAGAAAGGAAAGCTTAGAGAAGACAACGATGCTGGGGCAAATGGAAGGAAAAAGGAAGAGGGGCCAACCAAGGGCAAGATGGATGGATGGCATCCTTGAAGTGACTGGATTGACTTTGAAGGAGCTGGGGGTGGTGACGGCCGACAGGAGCTCTGGTGTGGACTGGTCCATGAGGTCACGAAGAGTCAGAAACAACTGAATGAATGAACAACTATTATTATTATTATTATTATTATTATTATTATTATTATTATTATTATTTACCCGACTTTCCTTGTGGCTTGATGCAGGTCACAGTACAGTCAAAACATATAAACATTGCAAAAAATTGATAAACACATATATTAAAATGTAGTTCTATACAATATAAATATTAAAACGTACTTCTATAAAATACATATTAAATACACAGGACAGAGATTAAAACACAGGACATGGGTTTAAAATTCATGCTTTCAAATGGCAGAAGAAAAAGGTCTTTAAATGGGTTTTAAATTGTGTCAGCTCATTTAGTTGTCAAAGTTCTTCCGGCAAGTCTTGGAGTGACTGATGGAAAATTCCTCTAGGTGATGGTCACCAGTTGGGTTCTAGCTGGTTGGAGTAGCTACCCCCCCAGAAGACTTCAGTTTTCAGGGGAGATTGTATGGGAGAAGGTGATCCTGTAGGTAACCTTGACCCAAACCATGTAGGACTTTAAAGGTCAAAAGTAACACCTTGTAACTATGAGTCGGATGTATGCTAGATGTTTGTAACTCAGGTTCTGCCTGTGTGTGTGTGTGTGTGTGTGAACAATTTCAGTGTACCAGATTGTCTTTTACATATCCTCCCCTCCCAAAAAAAGTGGGGTGAGGAAGGGACAGTGCAAGCATCTCCACTCTGTTTAACAAACATGTTCTGGCATGTCATATTGCCTGGCTGTTTATTTAAACTCCCCAAATCATCAGTAATGGGTCACAGAAGTTTCTATAAATAAACTTTACTTAAGTGATGTTTGTTTTCAAAATACAACTGTGAGTGGTTAGACGGGACATTGCAATAATGTAGGGATAGATAAAAAGGCCAGTGGACTAAATCCAAGGCCACTTGTCTTCTCGTATCAGAATGGCTAACAACTCACAAGAAGGAGAAGGTGATCACCACAGGTTTGGAGCACAACACTTTTACATTTTTATTTTTCTTCATCTTTTAATGTCTTTATTACAGGGGAATATAACTTATAGGGGGCAACTTAAAGGCAGCGGCTTAGCCCCACTCAATCCAGTACCCTCCAGATGTGTTGAATTATAAATTCCGACTTTGTTGACTTTGTGATATGAATGATGGGAGTTGTAGTCAAACACAGCTGGAAGCCACCTGGCTAAAGAAAGTTACTTAAAGGTTCAGTATCTAAAGAAAAAAGCACAAACTTCAATTATTTCTATTAATCACTCCCCCACTGTTCTGATAGAACTAATCCAGTCATTATTTCATTCCCATTTTTGGCCTTAGAAAGAGATGTTGAGGGGTATATTTTATTTGTCTTCTTAGTAAACACACAATCCATTAAAGCTGCTTCTATCATATAGCTTTAAATTTATTTATTTATTGTGGTGGAGGTAATGCATCTTTATTCTAGCACCTGTTTCCCTGTAAATGCATTTGTGGGCAAGAGCTTCCATCACACCCTTCTCATAACAGCCTATGACAGTGGTTCTCAACCTGTGGGTCCCCAGGTGTTTTGACATACAATTCCCAGAAATCCCAGCCAGTTTACCAGGGGACCCACAGATTGAAAACCACTGGCCTATGAGGGTATTTTGAATGTTGGTGAATATTCATGACAATTAAGCATAACTCAAACCAGTTGTTATGGTTGTGTACTGTGTCAATGAGTTAGTGAAATTTCAATTCAAACTTGAAGGCAGTTTGGTTCTTTAAATTCTGGGTTTCAGTTCAAACTTTAACATTTTTGTGGTGCTTCAAAGTTCAAACTAAAACCCAGAGAAGGCTCACTGAGAATTCTAAATATTCACCGACATGGAATCCATCAGTTGCAACTGAGCAAAAACTGTTTACACTTAGGAAAATGTAAACTGTTATGATCAGTTTGCTAACACCTTTTTTTCCAGAAATGAGTGATATTGCAGAGAAAATTCAGTGTGAAGCAAATAATAGTTTGTGTTCATGCATTTGCGCATGGTTTGGAGGAAAATGTTTCTCTGAGAAGTGACAAGATATGGAAAAGTGTGCCCTGGTGTTATGAGCTCGTTTTACTTGGGGAATAAACATGAGATTTTCTATTTGCTTCAGTGAGTGGGAAGGGTGTAATCACAAATTAATGGAGGGGGATGATTAATTCCAAGATTTAGTCAAATCTCAAAGAATAAACAGGCACTCAGGTCTGTGAGGTAAGGGCACAATGTAACAGAAATCAGAGGTAAATCAATAAATTTCAGGGAAAGCATTATGAAATGGATGAAATAAACTGAAGAATCAGTTGCAGCTTTCTCTCTTTATGTCAGAGTTAACAATATGCAAAATTACCTATAGTTAACGATTTATAAAACACTTCATTTGCCCCTCCCATTTCCCCTCTAGTTAAAGCATATTGTGTTCTCAGCTACTTTGCAGACCAGAGTAAGAATTCAGGAAGAAAGATGGTTACTGTCCCTCTATCAAGTCAGGGCTGCAAATCCTGTGAAACATCTTCCAAGACCTGGCATAAGAATGGTCTCAGATTTCATTCTTAGCCCAAACATGCTGCAAACAGCCTCTTGAAGCAGTCTGAAGTCATGATTGCCAGCAGGCATGTAGCCAGGGGGGGGGGGGCTTGAAGGGTTTTGCACCCCCCCCCCGAAATTCTCATGGTGGTTCGCGAAAAGGCCTTACTGGTGCATTATTTAAACTGTTATGTTTATTCATATCATGATCTGATCACCATACTCAATATATCCCATATGCATGGGGGTATTGGGGTAATGATACAAAAGGTTTGCTAGGATAGACCCTCTTTCACTCAGACTCAGCCCCCCCCCACTCAGCCCCCCCCCCCCCCCCCCCCCCCGAAATTTTTTTAGCCCCCCCCCCCCCAAAAAACGAAATCCTGGCTACGGGCCTGATTGCCAGTCTGGATGGACTTAGTGTAACATTGATCCCATCTACACTAACCACTTAGGGTGATGTAGAGGTAGATCAGCCCTGTGGTGGCCAAATGCTATATGGAGTTGATCCAGGGTGATGCAAGGCAAAGCCACCTTGATGTGCCTTTGCCCACATTGACCAAAGAATTTGGATTATCTTCTGATTTAAGGCCTGTGGAAGCAGTTGGGTCAGTTCCGAAAAGAAACCAGCCACAATGGCCATATGCACTATTCTACACTTCCTGGGCTCAGGAGGCCTGAGGACACAGGATGGCATCCCCTTACCCCTACCCCCAATGTCTTGGCTGTAATATTGGCTAGGAAGATGGAGTCATTTTTTAGATCTGTGAGACATGATTTTACAAGTAATGTGAGATTACCAACTAACTGCAAAAAGGTACCCTATAATTATTTAATAAATAATACAAAATAAACTGTCAGATTATTAGTAGCCAATTACTGTTGCTTGTTATTGTTTCTGTGAATGGCAACAAAACAAAAAAAATAGGTCAAATTGGACAAAACAACAGTAAATCATTAAAAGTAGTATCTGAATTAACTAGTGAAAGGACAATGATAGTTTGTCAAAAAGCTTGATTCATATTGTCCAACGGCCACTTGTACTGGTGGAAACTCAACAAATGGAACATTTAGCTACTCTGAGAATTTCTTTTGAACTACAGGCAGTCCCCATGTTTTGAACAGATACTTTTTAAAGTGTAACTCCAGATATATATATATATATATATATATATATATATATATAGTTAGCTTAAGATAGCATACAGAAGAGTTAACACTCCTGTGGTTTTTGTTTTCCTGTCTGCTCCCCTGTTCAGAAGATTTCTGCTCACTTTCTGCCTCTGTGATAACTGGATTTTGAAAAAATTGGATTGTTGCGGAAACAAGGATTGACGAGAATGCTTCCCCATGATAACTCTTCCAGGAGTGAATTTCCCTTCCTAGGAGTAGATTTTTCTCACTTCCTGTTTTCTCATCCCCATTCTTAACTATAAGTTGTATGTAAGCCAGATGCTTGTAACTCAGGGAGTACCTGTACTAAGAAATTGCATAATGTTTATTAAAGAAGGCCCTACCTTTTTGTGTAGCAAGTAGTTTAACCATATACACAACAGGAGTTTTTATGCTTCAGAAATAGTCATCCTTGAATTTTTATGGTTGTGAGCGAGTTCCTGCAATTATAATCTTCTTCTTTGTAAAAACTATGCATACCAATTAAAATCAATTGTGATTTCTTCAATTGTCTGTTTTAATTCTTGTTTTCATTTTAGCTGCCTTGGAGTCATGGAGAATGATACTACCACACTGAAGTATGAACCAAATAATGACATGCAAAGCTCAGCTTTGTCCCAACCATCTCCTCCATATGTCCCTGTCAAGCTTGAAGAGTATGAAACACCAGGCTTTAGTGTCAAGAAGCTCCTCAAGAAAGTTGAAAAGAATTGCAAGTGTAACCAACGAAGTGTCCTCAACTTCTTCCTTAAGCTGTTCCCTGCCATAGAGTGGCTTTCGCATTACAGAATCAAAGAATACCTGCTTGGTGACATCATCTCAGGCTTACTGGTTGGAATAGTAGCCATCCCACAGTCAATCTCCTATGCCCTTCTTGCAAGCCAGGATCCTATTTATGGGCTGTATACCAACTTCTTCTGTCCCATCATCTACTTTGCCATGGCTACCTCACGCCATGTCTGTGTGGGGTCTTTCGGGGTCCTGTGCCTAATGATTGGGGAATCAGTAAACCGACAGCTGAGGTTAGCTGGATATGAAACAGATTCGGCCACTGTCGTGATCGCTAATGCCACGTTGAATGGGACAGTATTCTGTGACAAAGGCTGCTATGCTATCAGTGTGGCAACAGCCTTAGCATTTTTGGTCGGAATATATCAGGTAAGATAATTAATTGGAAACAAGCCTGCACATTACTATCGTTTTAATACATGGAGCACTTAATTCTTTGGATTTAAATTCATGACAATGAATTAGCAAAAGGGCTATTAGAGTAATAAGAATGCCTTGCTCTGGCTCAGATACAGCTTTCTTTTTAGTTGTTGGCTATTTTGATTTTAAATAGTGAACAGGCAAATCTTTACTGACTGCTTCCATTGGCATTATTAAGATGTTGTGCCATATACAGGAGCAGAAGCAGGTATATAAGTTATCGGGTCCCCTAGTTGTCTTGGAGGATAATATCAGCTTTCTGCATCTGACTAGATCTTTCTTGAGTGGTCACCTACCACTGGTGTGAAAATATCCATGAAGCTGGTGCTGCCACAGCTAAAGGGCAAACGCAATAGAACAAGCTTACACACCACATCAATCATAGTGTTTTCTGAAGTGGTCCACAATCTACAAATTAGAGTAAACCATGTGAGGTACTTTTAAGTGAATAACTGTGGAAGAATCCACCAATCTGTAATGAGTAATCACATTCTTTCTGACTTGGGAATAATAGGAATTGCCTTATATTGACTCTGCTTATTAGTCTATCTATGTTGATATTCAAAACCTAAAAAGGATTGTGCTGAGTCAGAGCAAAAACCAATCTAATCCATCATTCTGCTCCAACACCAGTAACAAGATTCCTCTGGAAAGTCCGTAAGCAAGGCACGAGTGCAAAGGAATCTTCATGTACAGCTGGTATTGACAATGCCTGGTATTTGCTCTCTGGCATTTCAGAATTTTTTCCCAGTTTTTTCAAGGCCAACTTCAAGATATATCAATGATTGAATCTAGGACAATTTGTGTACCACAGCTACCCTAGATAGATATTCATAATGCTTTTTATCAAGCTGTAATTTGAACTAGTTCTGATTGATTGATCCAATTGGCTTTATCTTTCAGATACTTCTGGGGGTCTTCCAGCTGGGCTTCATATCCGTATATCTTTCAGAACCTCTCTTGAGTGGCTTTGTAACTGGATCTTCCCTTACCATCATCACCTCACAAATGAATCTTGTCCTGGGAATAAAAATTCCCCGCCATGATGGAGTGGGCTCCCTCGTTTTAACATGGATTGACATCTTCAGATACATTGGCAAGGCCAACATCTGTGATCTAGTTACCAGCTTGGTTTCTTTGGCCCTGATGGTGCCAGTGAAAGAGATCAATAGCTATTACAGGGATAAAATGAAGGCTCCATTTCCCATTGAACTCCTGGTGGTCATTGCAGCAACCCTTCTATCCCATTTCTTTGACTTCAATAAAAAATACAAATCTAAAATCTGTGGTGCCATTCCCACTGGTTTCAAGCAACCTGCACTTCCTGATCTGGGACTTTTGTCAAATCTGGCACTTGATGCTATACCTATCGCCATCATTGGTTTTGCAATGACTGTCTCACTAGCAGAAATATTTGGCAAGAAACATGGCTATCCTGTACGCGCCAACCAGGAAATGATTGCCATTGGCATGGGGAACCTGATCCCTGCCTTCTTCTCCTGCTTTGCTACCTCTGGAGCCTTGACGAAGACCTTACTGAAAGAGTCTACAGGATGCCAAACCCAAATATCAAGTCTGATATCTTCAGTTGTGATGCTCCTGGTCCTGTTGTGGATTGCTCCTCTCTTCTATTCATTGCAAACATGTGTTTTGGGTGTAGTTACCATTGTGAATCTCCGAGGAGGTTTGCGGACTTTTGCTGACATTCCCAAGATGTGGAGGATCAGCAAAATTGACACTGTGGTATGGTGGGTCACCATGCTGTCCTCATTACTGATCTCCACAGAGTTGGGCCTTTTGGTAGGCGTCTGCTTTGCTCTCCTCTGCATCATCTTCCGTACTCAGAGGCCCCGAGCCACTCTTTTAGGTAGGGTGAACAATTCGGAAATTTATGAGGACCAATTCACTTACAAGAGGATCAATAGCATTGCAAACATCAAGATCTTCCGCTTTGATACCTCTCTTTACTATGCAAACAAGGAGTACTTCAAAAGTTCACTTTTCCAGAAAACAGGAATACAGCCTTCTTTGGTTGCTGCCATGCAGAAAAAGGCAAAAGCAAAGGCAAAGGCAATCATGGGCAAAAATGAAAACTGTTTCTCTTCAAAGCTAAACTGCCTAAAGCCCTCAAAGAAAAGCACAATGGAAGTATCAGCAGATGTTCCTGCTCCAGTGATCGATATTTGCACCTTAATAATTGACTGTGGGGCTATGCAATTTATAGACAGTGTGGGTCTCAGTGTGCTGAAGGAGATCCGACAAGACTATGGGAAGATTGGTGTCCAGGTGTTGTTGGCCAACTGTAATCCATCCACTCGACACCTGCTCCAGGCAAGTGGTTGGCTCACTGGGATGGAAGATTCAGGGTTGCTGTCCTTCCACAGTATACATGCGGCTGTGAAGTTTGCTGAGCAGCAGAACCAATCTCAAAAGAAAGACAATGAAGTAGCCAAAGAAACTTTTCTTAGCGAAGAACCCCAGAATGTCTTAGTAGATTCGAGTCTGGAATGATTGCTGTAAGTATAGACAGAACACATCTAGGAATCTGCTTTATACATTTAAGCTGTTAATTACACCAGCATTCTGCATTTGGCAGGCCAAGATGAATGCCTTTGCATTTAAGAAGGATAGGAATATAATCTGGATAGGAATACTTTTTCTGGAATAGAGACAAAGCTTCACCTGCTCGTTTGCTTTGAGACAGATTGCTGTTAAAAATACAAAAATAGGACCAGAAAGGAAAGGTGGCAGCCATCAAAAGAAGAAACTTAGGTACATTTACATCTTAAATGAAGATGAGACAGCATTAAATTATCACAACTTAGTAGGCTAAGAGGTAGAGACTTACCCAGTACTAATCAGTGAAGTTCGGAAATACATGCAGAAGGTTAAAAAGCAGACCCGTTTACAGCATGGATGCTGAAATTGATGGGAGGTTCTGAAGAAAAGAACAAAACCCCTATAAACAGAACTAACATGCTACCATGACAAAACGATTCTACTCTAGCCCTGTACCTGCTGTCCCAAGTGCCTTTTTTCAGGGAGATTTTGATGCATTGAAATATTATTTTCACTTCAGCAGGCATGGGGACTTCCAGGTATCTTGGACTTCAGCTGCCACAATTTCTAATAGCTGACTGTTAGGAATTATGGGGGTTAAAGTACAAAAACACCAGGAGGGCTGAAGTTTGTCCATGCTCGCACTATAGTTTACTGTCTGACTCCAGTCAATGCAGTGTATGGGTGGTCTAGGTTTTTTTCCATCACAGAAGAGGCAGAAGAAGATGAGTTTCCCATTTCATATCCAATGTTCTAATCACCACATGTCTCTGACTTTCTCCTAGAAACATAGAATCATAGAATTGGAAGAGACCTCATGGGCCATCCAGTCCAACTACCTGCCAAGCAGCAGGAAAATTGCATCCCCCGCAACAGATGGCCATCCAGCTTCTGTTTAAAAGCCTCCAAAGAAGGAGCTTCCGCCTTTGGAGGCTTTTAAACAGAGTCTGGATTGTTATCCTGTTTATTCCCTTTTTATTTGGGAACTATTACTGAAAAAAGGGGGCTTTACTTGTTGTGCGGTGTTACTTTAACCCTTTGTTTTTAAATGGGCATGTTTTAAATGGTTTTAATTCTATAGACAGATCCATGGTATTTTCGATACAAGTTTTTATATGGTTTAATATATATCTGTCTTTAAATGCATTTTTTTTTGTAAGTGACCTTGGGTCCTAGGTTTGGGAAAGGTGCACTATAAACAAAGTGATATAATCTTGATATAATCCTATTTGAATTCAGAGGAGGAAGATGTGTCTGATCTCAGGTGCTAGCGGAAAGAAATGAGGGTGGGCTCCCATGTGGACTTGTCATCATCTCCCCTTCCCTCAGAGCTGAGACGGGCTGCTTCTTCCTCATCTGAATCGGCTCTGACTTCTTCCTCTCCCTATACTCAGGGTTTCTGTTGTCTTCTCCAGTATTGACACACATTGCTTCTCTGCCTTTTTTTTTTTTTTGCAACATGTGTCCTATGTGGGGTCAGGGGAGGCTGTGGATGGAGTAAAAAAATATTTTCAAAATTAAGTCATGCATCAAATAACCACCTAATATTGACTTGCGGGCACCCCATGGAGAGAAATAAACACTCCCGTCTTTCAGTGCTACTTCTTCCCCATTTTCAGTTAATTTTGCAATCCCATGTCAGATGTATTTTTAACCAATTTTTCTAAACTTTGATAAGAACTCGATAATCAACACTAATGATTAACAGAATGATGACTGAAAATGCTCAACTTCCCCCTGATACAACATTTGTATAATTCATTTGGATTTTAAAGCTTACTGATAGTTATCAAGCCCTTTTCTGTTCAAATCTCTAGTGGAATCATATGCCAGACTGTTTTCTTTTTCAGCAGCTGTCAATAGAGAAGATCCAGACTGAATCTACACAACCATACAATGCAGTTTCAAAATGTAGATTAACTGCACTGAATTTGATTACACGGCATTGTAGACTCATTTAATCCATTTCAATTCTGAAATTGCCTTATATGTCGGTGTAGATCCAGTCTCAGTGAGTAAGCTTTGCACTGCTTTGAACAGTCTTCTGCAGTTTAGGCATGCAGGTTGGACCTCACCAGAAATAAAGAGAGCCTTTAGAAAGCTTGTGCTCCCTGATGTCTTCTGAATCCACAACTCAAACTGAATCCAAAACTGCTAAATATCTTGTCCTTGGTCCTGGTATTGCTGGAACACACACTGTTCCTCTGGCTTTTTTTGAAACATGCATTCTGTGCTCTGAATTGGGGTAAGTGTGGAATCAAGAGTGGTGTGCTTGGACTGCGAGAGAGGTTGGTGGGCAGTTATTTGCCACTTTAAATTCAGTGCATTGAGAAGGGCTCCAAATTAGTTTACTTAGGCATCCCCCACTTTGGAATATGTAAACATACAAATCCCCATATATTTGAATATTTGGAAGGATGGCTCCATTTAAAAAGTCATGCAAACCTTCAGATATTTGAATATACATCTATCCACATTCATACATGCAATGTTTTTAAAAAAATAAAAAAAGAAGTACCAATACTGTGCTTACTGGATGTGGATGCCAAAGAAACCCTTTGTAACCCTTCCTGCCCTGAAATCTGCCATTTCCAAAAGTCTAAGATTCTCAGCTCTGTACGTTATATTTTCATTTTCATTATACAATTCCTCCACATTAGTGGAGTTAGTAGTGCCAGGCTGCACATGTGTTTCCCCCTACAATCAGTCACTCCCCACTCTTATGGGAGGCGGAAGGGAGTTTGATGGAGAAGGGAGGGCAGGGGGTGCATCAGTCTTTGGGGCAGACAAAGGGAGCAGGATGCAGGAGGGCATGAGGAGAGTGCTGCTGAAGTCTCTTCCCATTGCCCTTGTACCACTGATGCATGCACCACCCACCTTCCATCCCATATGTGTGTGTATGTGTGTCAGGAAAATTAAACAATCAGTTTAGGTCATGAACTGTAGAATTCCTGTGCTCACTCAATCACTTGGACAGGATAGTGGCAGGGAATGGGAGAGTGGAGCCATCCAATCGGAATACAGGTGGGCAGTATAATTGACAAAAAGAGAAGAAATGCTTTTGGTGAATAGATTTATGTGGACATATGCATGCCCGCATGCATGCTGGGAAGAAAAAAAGATCACAAAGCATCCAGTCATGGCCATGAATTGCACGTTGTCATTCTGCATGGGGGTTGTGTAGCACTGGTGAACTGTCCTGCTATATCTGGATACTATTCACTACATTGAGAGAATGCTGGATTGCAGGGAACTCAAGGAAGCACAAATCCAGTTGATGAGGAGAAGAGGGGATGATTTACCGGGGACAGTGATCAGTTGTAAATGAAATGTATATGGAGAATCTAAACTATTTGAAAGATTAGAATGGTTTAGCAATCTAGTTGTGGAGGGATTCTTCTTCTTTCTATCAGTGTGGTTGTATTGATTTATCAATCATTGTTGCTTCAATAATGTTTGCCTTTCTCTCTGCCCTCTTTTCTTATGTGCCAATAAAATTGTTTTTTTTTTTAAAAAAATACCCTTGTATTTAATTTTTATTTATTTCTCTTGTTATGTTTGTGTTCTTTGGATTAGCTCAAAATGACACATGATTTTCCATTATATCCTCACATCTTTGAGAGATAAGTTGGCTGAGACTGACACCATAGAGGCTTTATGAATAAGCAAATATTTGGCTCTCTTCTAGATATATATGGAGCCGGAGGTAGGGGAGTCACCTATGTTACTATAGTTTTTTGGAGGAACAAACAAGTTTTAGATGGAGGTCAACTAATCCTGCACCCTATTCTCTATAGGATCCCTATATAGGAAGTCCCACCGATTTGGTGAGCAATTGTTGCATTGCTGATCTGCCCTAACCATTATGTGGTTTCTCCTGAGGTTTACCTTAAATTGTTTCCCCTGCAGTTCTAAACCATTAGTTCTACTCCTCGTTGGAATAACAGAGAAAGGTTCTGCTCCATAACCTCTTAGATATTTAGAAGCAAAATTAGAATGAAAATAGTCAACATCAAAACTTAATGTGTCAATAGTGCTACCTCTTATTGACCACCAGAGGGTGCGCGTATGACACCAAAAAGTCATCTAACAGGAATACAGTGTGGGAAGATAATATAGCCCACTCAACACGAGAGATTTCATTGAAAGAACACAGTGCTCTCCTCTTTGAACAGAACAATATTTTGCACCCAGTGGTGTAATTCTATATAAATGTGCACATTTTCATAATATTTTCAAAAGAAGCGCTTCATTGATCAATTTGTTATTAATAAAGTCATTGACAGTATAACAAAATAACAGAACACACCAATTCCAAGGTACTTCAGACTGATCCTCTCTTATCTAGAATTCCAAAATCCAAAACACTTCAAAATCTGTAAAGAAAACCCAATGAATTGCTTAGGCAAGTCACACTTTCTCAGAGCAAAAAGGCTGTCATAAGTTGGAAATGATTAGATGGTGAACAACAACAAGCTTATACTTTCTCATAGGTTCTGTAGGCACAGGCTCTAGTACTGTCACAGGTATATATATACACACACACATTTTTCTGCGTCTTTTTCACTCATTGTGCAATGGTTAATTAACTCAACCACTGCACCAAGCGTGAACTGAGTGCTATGATGACTGTTGAACAACCTGGTATCCAAAATGATACCACTGGTGTATTTTTACTTGAAGGGTACCTACATGCAATAATCTGCAAGTGTAAATATAGGTTCTTGATCTTACACTGAGTTAATTAACTGAAAAAATTGTGTGGTGTTGTTAGCCAATTTCTAAAAGCTTCCTGGGAGAAGATGAATTAGCATTGTACATAGATAAAACAAAGAAGACATTGGACTAGGATTTCAGGAGACCAGCATTTGAATCCCCATTCAACCATGGAAAGTTACTGGGTGATTTTGGGCACACCACAGTCTCTCAGCGTAATGGTGAGGCAATCCAATGAAGAAATCTTGCAAGAAGACAGTCAACATAAGTTTGAGTTGACTTGCAGGCACATAACGACAGCAAAACCCTTCCTATATT